CGCTCAGGGGGGTGGAGGAGAAGGCGGCGGGCAGGGCCGGGGTGACACGGAAGCCATGTGCGCCAACCGCCTCGCCATTGCTCCGCCCAGGCCTTGCCCTCCCCACGCTGCCCCAGCCCCCGTTAACCACCCGCGTAAAACCCAAACGGATCTGGGTACCGCTGCCGCTTACTCCCGTTTCTTCTTTGGTGGCAGGTTACAGATGCGCCATCGCATGAAGGTCACCTCTCGGAGCAGGCACCCGAGTCACCCAAGGCAGAAAATGACAGCGTTTTTCTCATCAGGGCACAAGGGTTCCCCTTCTCCTGCACCGAGGAAGACGTGCTTACCTTTTTTGATAGTAAGGGAGCTCATTTCCATCTTTAACTGTTCAGTGGGGGGGTGTTGAACCTAATAGTTAAAGATCAGTCAACAGAAAGAGCACTTAAAAATCTTTAGCCAAAGAAACATGATGTTTCAATACTATTGTAAGATTATTTGTGCAAATAAACCAAATAATTGACTTCCAGACTGCTAGAAAACAACAGGTAACTCTTCACTAAGGCATTTCGTATTTAGCTGAGCAAGTCTTTACTTTCTTCAGCTTTTCCCCAGCAAAAGCACTGTGATCCAGTTCCCAATGGTTCTTTTCAATACCACTATGGTTGGCTTTCTCCCACTCCCCTCCTTTAAACCGAAGGGTCTTGAGTATTTACTCATTAAAACTCCAGTGCTGCTTTCTGAGCCTGATTAATAGGCTTGCACATACCCCTGTGGGACTGATCCCTCCATACTGTGGTATTACAGTGCATCCTTCCAGGGTATTCTGCACAGCAAGATCCAAGTTCTTCACTGTTTTAGTAACCTGCAGAGCTAAAGTCAGCTTGAATTCCAAGGGGGAAAAACAGAGCATCAATGACAAGAGCCTATAGTATTTGTTCTAGATGTCAAATACTTACAAAACAAGAAGTCTCCAAGAAGAGGAGGATATAAGTTATCCAGTTGTACAGCTGTGGAAGCCACTGGATGTCAGATGAGTTTCTTTTCTGCTGAAAATGCTGTGTGTTAGAGCTGAGGTTAGAAATAGGAGTTTCCCGGCCTTTGGACAGTGTTTTGCACTGCTGTGGGAGAGCACTAAACACAGAATATTCTGTTTCTGTCTGCAGTCAGAAGAGCCCCTGGTTTGACGCAGTTGCGTATGTTTGTGTGTCGTGTGTTCCCCAATTTCTAGGCTGTAGAGTTCGAAACGGTGAGAACGGCGTGCACTTCCTCTTAAACAGGGATGGGAGGCGCACGGGGGACGCCCTGGTGGAGCTGGAGTCGAAAGCAGACGTGCAGAGAGCCTTGGAAAAGCACCTGAGGTACATGGGCCCGCGCTACGTGAAAGGTGGGTGTGAAAGAGCAAAGTCACACTGGGAGAAAAGGCGTGAAGGGAATCAACCACTGCTTGGAAATAGAGCAGGGCTCTGCGAGGGGGGCAGCCTGGAGAGGTGCAGGATGTGGACCAGGTGGGGAACAAGGCAGCATTAAGCCAAAACTTCCCGGGGCAGGCAGGAAGAGCCTTGCACAGTGATGGGTGCCATTGCAGGACCATGGAGCGTGGGGTGGGGGTGAAGTGCTGTGAAGTTTTGGAGAAGTTGGGGGTTGCTGGCTTAGAGGAAGGCTCAGCTCTGCGTGCCAAAGGCAAACCTGTTCTGTGCCTGTGCTCGTGGCAGTGTTTGAGGTGCACGACAGCGACGTGGAGGGCTTGCTGCGGAACCTGCGGGACGAGTCGCACGCCATAAGCGATGGAGTGGTGCTGCTCCGAGGCCTGCCCTTCAGCGCCACCGAGGAGGACATCATGGACTTCTTCTCGGGTAACTCCTGCGTTAGGAGGGGCCTGCTCCTCCCAGCTCACACTGAACCAGGCTGCTGCTTCACCAGATTGACAATCACAAAAGCACAACCTTCAGCACCTCAAATAGTCCAAGGGGCTGCTGCATCCCCGCAGCTAAAAATAATTAATGTTTTCTAAACGAGATTTTGGCTGCAAGATTTTCTTGCACCCTTGACTTCCTGCAGGTCTAACCTGGGGTCAGTATTTGCAGCACTTCTTTTTGGAGAGGGGGGGAATGAAAGAGGAGAACCTCAGTCCTCTTCTCTCCAACTGGATTGCAAAGAGTCCAGTGCAGGATTTGGCAAAATAATATAATGGGGGATGAATGTAAATATAATATAATATGCAAAATTAAGTTATTTAAAGTTATAAATTACCCAGTTTCAACGTGGCAAAGCTAAGACAGGAAAAAGATGCCTGCATGGTAGTTAAAGCACAAGTGAATGCAGTGAGGGTGTTTCCAGGTGTCCCACATCATCACAACAGCCAGGTCTGTACGCCACTGTTAACAGCAGGGTTTTAATTAGCACTTTGCTCATTACTGTACAAGGTACCTGCACCAGTTGTGGCTGAGCAAGCATTGGACCATGTGTCTGTGTCCACATGTGCTAGGATGATCCAGGCGGCTGCCGCCTGCATTCGTTAGCGAAGCAGCCTTTTGGTTTTGCAGAATTAATTGACTTTTACTTAGGTAAAGGTTAGGCTGGACAGAAACCAGTTTGCACCCCAAATTCATCCAGTCCAGGTTGGCCTGCACACAGAGGCCTCTAGCCCTGAGGCCTACAACAACATCATGCAAAAGCAAAGGCTACCGATAGTAAATTTTTGAATTTATAACCATTAATTCTATTTAAAATAATCTGGTGGCAGAGTTACCACACTGAAGTGACACAGGCAGTGTTTTGGAACAGCTGTTTCCATTTCTTTAGGAGCTCGGGGAGACCCTTGAGAAGGTATCAGGGCACAAAGAGTACACAGAAAGGCGCTCCTGAAAATAATGAGTGTAGGAACCCAATGCAGTGTGCACTGGGTGTTAGATACAGCAGTTTACTGGGTTATAGGTAGGCTCCCCAAAATTACACTATACAGCACAACCACATTTAGAGAATTTGATGTGGGTGTTAAAGAGATGGGGAAAAATATCTCTAATGATAAGAGAAAGCACTGAGAACATCTGTGCCCTGGACCTCCTCCTTGCTTACAGCTTGAATTCATTTGTTGTTGTCGTAGTGGAAGTGAATTCATTACTGGCAACGAAGCCTTCTATGAAAACTGAGAGAAATCCAATAAACTGGAGTAAAAAAAAGTTTAAAAAGAGGCTGAGGGAGCTGGGGCTCTTTAGTTTGCAGAAGAGGAGACTGAGGGGAGACCTCATTCATGTTTATCAATATTTAAAGGGTGAGTGTCACGAGGATGGAGCCAGGCTCTTCTCGGTGACAAACAATGATAAGACAAGGGGTAACGGACACAAACTGGAACACAGGAGGTTCCACTTCAATTTGAGAAGAAACTTCTTCTCAGTGAGGGTGACAGAGCCCTGGCCCAGGCTGCCCAGAGAGGTTGTGGAGTCTCCTTCTCTGCAGACATTCAAAACCCGCCTGGACGCCTTCCTGTGTAACCTCATCTGGGTGTTCCTGCTCCGGCAAGGGGATTGGACTGGATGAGCTTTGGAGGTCCCTTCCAATCCCTGACGTTCTGGGATTCTGTGTTTTGGTCAGCACGAACGGTTGTTTCAGGACTGGGTAAAGCCAGAGTAGCTTGTCAGAAACCAGAGGAGTAAGGGAAGAGATGTCTTGTTGCCACAGCACAAGTTCCTGACCACGTAAACACCTTTCTGCCCACCCTTCACAGGTTTGAGAATAACTGACATAGCTTTCATCTACCGGGGAGACCGAAGGACGGGAGAAGCTTTCGTGCAGTTCGCAGCCCCCGAAATGGCAGCCAAGGCCCTGCTGCGCCACAGGGACTACATGGGCAGCAGGTGGGTGCTGGGCTGGGGCTCCTGAGGGAGGAGCATGCCGTAAAACCTTATGGGATCACAGCCTGGTGTCAGCCTGTCCCACCCCCTTCACTGTTAACGAAGCTGTTGTCCTTAATGCTCATAACACCCGGAACTCAGACTTGAAACTCAAATTTCAGTACAAATTGTTTCTAAATCTCTCTCAGAGTGGTGTCAGACTGGTACTTAGCAGCTTAAAACATTTAATTTTTAAGAGCACCCTCTGAAACTCAGTGTGTAATCCGAACATTACCTCCTCTGGTGGTGTTTTCTTTAGAACCTTGACAGAACCAGACAAAAGATACAGGCTTCTGCAGGCGTCTGTGCCTTGGAGAGGCACCTTGAGTGCTCATAGCCTGGGGGGCATTTTGGGCCTGCCAGAAAAGGTCTAATTTCATTGTTAGTACTCCTGAACGCAGTCTCATCTCAAAAAAAGGGGGGTGATAGCATGCAGAGCAGGCAACATTAGATAGACAGTGCTTGCCCAGTCTCAAGTGTTAGGATATCCTGCACCTCCTGCAGACATTTCCCCCTGCCAAATTTCCCCCATTTCAGCCCAGCACCAGCCACCATCAGTATCTACATTCGAGTAGTAGCCGGGTCAGAGCACCCATGGCCACTCACCTCTGGCTTAGCGCCGCTCCCGCAGGTAACTACAGGCCAATGTTGCAGTCGGTGACTCCTTTGGTGGCCACATCTGCCTGGGCTGCTCCTTCCTCAGGAATTCATGTTGAGACATTTTCTGCCTGAGCCCTGCACTACTCTCTCCTCACAAGAGCCTCTCTTTTCTCAAGGAGAGCACAAATGGCTTTTTCCCAGAATCCTGAGCTCCACTCAGGGGAGGAGAAAGCAAACAAAAAACCCCCAAGCCCTTGTTTTTACCCTCCTCAGCTTTCTGATTTCTCTTTACACCCCATTAAGCTCCCTTTCCTATTACCTGGTAGGAAGAGACTCCTCTAAACCTTCCCACTTCCCCCACACAGCACCCACTTCCTAACTTCCTGTTCCCCAGCTGCATTTCCTTTGGGGTGTAGCCCCTGCTCATGTTAAAAGGAAGCAGCTGCTGCACAGGTGTGCTCAGTGATTGAATCACCTCACGCCTTGCTCCTGTGCGTGGAGGTATTTGCTGTACTGTAGCTGCAGTCCTTGGGAAGGGAGGGAGGTCCCCTTGTGTGGGTGGGTGCCTGTGTTCCCCTCTTCATCACCTGATTCCTTTTAAATCACCTGAGGTAGCACCCACAGCTGCAGCTGTGGCGCCAGCTCTCCCAAATAAGGGTGTAAGGAAGGGCTCCTGGGGTGGGTAGATGGAAATAGCAGCACTGTGAGTTTATACCCTGACTGAATGACTGCTTAAGCGATTGGGTTGGATTCTTTCTGTGGTGTAGCTGGGATTTTGCAGGCATCCCTTAGCGCTGCATTGCTTACTGCTGTGTTATACCCACAGCTTTCACACAGACCCTGCTGCCTTGCATCCCATCAATCCCATAGCGATACCTAAAAGCCTATGGTGCCACAGAAGTGTTTCATGTGACCCACCGTGCATCTCCTGTGTCTGCCTGGTCCTTTAATCTGTTTTTTTTGGGGTTGGATGGAGATTTTTTTATTTGGGGTTTGTAGAAATTGAAAAGTGCCATTTTCAGAGGTGCAGCGAGGAGAAAACAGCCTCATGTACAGGGGTGCTCAAAAGGATGGACACTGCTGAAAGAAACCGTTCTTAAGAGCAAATAAACCTGTATTTCTGCAACAAAAGTTAATTTTAGCTTGTAAGGGATTGATGTTATTGCTACAAGAACTCTGCATAAACGAGAGGCTTTGTCCAGCCCACGCTGGTGATGTGGGGGGTGTTACACAGGAGAGTGGCTCTCATTGCAAGTTGAAAATAGGCTTTTGTAAACATAACTCTGCAGTTTAAATCAATAAAGCCTTCACAGCTGGCACTTGCTGTACTGTGGCTCTCGCATGGAGCACACAAGCACATCCTAAAGTAATGGTGCCCTCTCCAAACCGCGAGTTCTTTGCAGAGGCACAAGGCGCACCACGTAACCTCCTCCTCCTGTGACTGGCAGGTACGTAGAGGTGTACGTCAGCAGAAAGCACCAGATGCAAAGGCACGTGCCCTACCACAGACACGTGGCGGTGGGGACCTACCCCAGGGCGAGACGAGAGCAGGAGCCCATTGCGGAGGACAGGGAATCGAGCAGCGCGGGAGGCGTCGATGCTGAGAGAGAAAGCAGTGAGTCCCTCCCCGTCGTCTTTGTTCTTGGGGGCTGCTTCGTTTTCCCCTCATGGGCTGCTGTGGGCATGACCCTGTGTGCCTGTGGCTTCATGTGAGGAAGGTGGTAACTGGAAGCATTAATAATATTTTTCCTCCGTTCCCCAGAGTGGTGCAGGGCAGGAGCAGAAAGCTCCGGACGCGTTTTGGACTCTGGGAGCAGCTCATCGCCTCTGCACTTTGTCCACATGAGGGGTTTTCCTACCCAAGCTACTGCCCAGGACATAGTAAATGTGAGTAGGAATAAAGCCTGGTTATCATCACCATTAATTATTCCAGCTTAAGTGACTTCATTTCAGTAGTGTCCAGTGTCACAGAGCCAGTGTGACTCTTAGGAGCACTCGATGACTCTGACACGTACAGGACACGTGTGCACTGTGAGGGTGTCTGTTCCTGTGCAGAATTAATCTGCCAGGACCTCGCAGAGGGAGGGGGCTGCACTGCTGTTGTACCACCCACGGCACAGTTGATGTGGCTGTGCCTCCGCTTCACCCGGGCAGACAAGGAGGGGCCTTTTGCTGCTTGAGACCTCAGACCCGCCCTGGCTGGACAGGCCTTTGAGTAAAAAGCTGCAGTTTCTCAGGGACAGAGTGCATCACTTTTTGTTTCTTTCATACCAAAATATCTTCTTGTTTTGCCCCCCCTCCCAGTTTTTTGCCCCGCTGAAGCCCACAAGGATCATGGTAGCGTACAACTCCCACGGAGAAGCCACAGGAGAAGCGGACGTGCATTTTGAGAGCCACGAGGATGCAGTCGCTGCAATGGCAAAGGAGGGGTCACAGCTGCGTAAGTACAAGCGGGGTCTCACAACCCCAAGACTCGGACGCTTGGGTCGTTTGGCTCAGCTCGTCACGCTGCTGTTCACGGCCCGTGCAAAAGAGTCACACACCAATTGAAGCTCTCTCCGCTTGTTCCCAGAGTGCAGCGCCGTCGAGTTGTTCCTGAATGAACACCCACAGGCAAAACCAACCTGCTCGTGACAGCGGCGCCCGCTCTGGTTTGGTGAGTGCCTCCTTCTCCGTTGGTCCTGGTCCATTTTTAGCAGCCTCTGCCTCAACCTTAGCATTGCTTCGTATTTGAATTGGCTTAAAGGCTCACTCAGTGTAGCCAAAGACAATTGTCACAGCTGACCCGAGGTCAGGCAGCCAGCCTCGACCTTCTGGCCTGCAAATCCAGGCTCCGCAGGGTTAAAGTCCTGGGGCAGAGGGGCAGCAGCAGTTGCTGCGCTGCTGAAACACTGCCTGGCTGCACAGGAACTGAGGCCTGCTGGAGTGGGCAAGGGAGGGGTTTTTGGTTTTCCTCCTCCGCTTAAAACTCTCCTCATGGGATTGGTTGAAGGTTGGGGTGAGGTTGTGGTCCCTGGCACGAAGGTGGAAGAGCAGCTGAACGTTTTGCACAGCCATGCAGGGACAGCTGGGTTTTGCCTCATCGTCACTGACAAAATAGCATTCTGCAGCTATGGGGGGTTTGGTTTGGTTTTTAATCCCTCCCCTCTTTCAAGAGCAGTGGTTTCAGTGCAAACAGGGTGTAATGTTTTTAACGTGTTAACCTGGGGCGTGGGACACTTTTTGGGTTGTTTTGTTGCACAGTGCCTGTGTTACTCTCCAGACATTCCCTTGTGCAAGTGGGGAGGTGGTGGTCAGTGCTCCCCGAGGTCCTGGCAGCTCTGGATTTCCTGTCTAGGGAAGGGAAACGCCTCTGGGACAGATTTGCCATTAGCTGTGACCTTCATCCTGTGCCCAACCGCTGCTGACCCCGGCCCTAGGACTCAACCCAGCAGAATTCAGTCCTCCCCCTGTGCTGGACTTAGTGCAGCCCCACATGACACCATCCCCTTCTGGAGCTGTTTGTGTCACCTTACCTTTTTGGGGAGAGCCTGCAGTATCCCCAAAGTCTGCTAATCTGTTATCAGAGGCAATGATTTGGAATAAAATGCAGTGGCATCTTATTGCTTTTCTGTTTTTGAAGATAAGTGACTTCTCTTTTTCCTCTTCCTTTCTTTTTAGGCCGAAGCGAACACATTCCGCGGGTACGAGCGTCAAGATCGAGCACGAGTGCCGCTGCTCAGTAACATTTAGCTGAGACTTGTGTAAAAGCATGTAATAAATTGTCTTGACTTACTGTGGCGAGATTGGCTGTTGCAAAGCAGGAGCAGCTGTGCTGGAGGAACAGCAGCTGCTGCAGGTGGAGAGGTTTGCCTGCAGCTGCGTAACGGTGCACAGAGCAGTAATAACAGCCCAGTATCAGCACTTGCAACCAGAGGGATTTGAGTCTCACAGAAGTCGCAGCCGCGCTGTGCAGCCAATACCTCATCCCTCCTCCCTTGTGTAAGCGTCTGTCGTCCAGTACCGGTTATGAAACGCTTTCATAGGCGTAGCCAGAGCAGAGTGGCATGGAAAGAGCAGCCAGGACGCAGGATAGAGATGATCGAGTGTTTATTTTTGTGTAGAACAAAACAAACATCAGAAAAACACCTGGTGTGAACCCACAGCCTGGCGTCACCAGCGGTACCTGAGCAACCACGTCGTGAGCGTGAGCAGCGTCACCACGCGTCACATCCAGAGACGTCCGCTGGACTCTGAGGTACCAAGAGCGGGGCAGGTCACAAATCAGCCCTTGCTTGGAGCTGCAAAGTGCCAGGCATTCCCACACCACAAGTATTTACACCAAGAGCCCCGTTTCCAGTTTAACCCTCCACACGGGAATTGCTGGGGTCACATTTGCTCCTGGGGGATGAGTCACTCTGGCTTTGGGTGCAGGAATTTGACATCTAAATGCGTACCCTATGTACACAAAGGTATTAAATTCACTACTTGCATCTGCTCCGTTCCTCTCCGTGTCTCACCCTCCCAAGCAGCGCGCCCATGCTGGAATTCCAGGCCTTGCAAATTCCAGCACTGGTTACAATCGCTAACCCACTTTAAGGGGCAGCAGCAAGGAAATGCAGATGGAACTTACAAGGGGGAAAGGAGCAGAAATTAACAGCTATTTAAAGTGTCCCCGTGGGGTGAAGTGCTCTGGCTCCCAGGGCACCAAGAGGAGCTGCAGAGCTTGGGAGGCTGGACACGCCGAGGCCTAGAGCCAGGAGCGCGTAATTCCCAGTACAAACCAGCACCAGCAACGTGAATAACCTCAGCTCTGAGGTGCTTTTTAACGCAGCTCCAGCCACTCCAGTAAACAGGAAAACCCCCCAAATGAATTCAACCACTAACCCCTAACACAATTTGTACAAAACCAAAAGCATTTCTCACATATAAATACATCAGTTTTCTACGGACTACGAAACATTCTGTGGTCTTAAAGACTGAAGTGGGCTTCCAGCATAAACCAGCTCAAATACAACCCTGACACGCCGTGCTTCACCAGGAAGCCCCCGCCGCTTTTTGGAGCAAGGTGAATTCCTTGAGGTAACAACAACAAAACAGTGTAGCATCAACTGTGAAACCTCGTGAAACTGCGTCCGAATCGGGATTTCAAGTAGGTGAAAAAGCGTTCCTGTTTCATCTCGCCTGCCTTTGAACTAACCCAAAAAAGGTGAGATACCAGGCTTATTCCAATTACCTTTTCAGTGCCGGTCCTTGGTTCGCCCATCGTGTGTGCCTCAAAACCACACGCCCACCCCCGAGCCCCTGAAATACAGGAGGAGAACTTCACAGCTTTGTTTCCTTTTGGGATACCGATGTGTGCAGCAAGCCCACGGCCAGAGGGCCGAGCTGAAGAAATGAAGTGTGCACTGGCCCTTCCCTGCACACCTCTGCAGTCACGTGGCCAAGCCGGATTGTCAGAGGCAACAGGGAAGGGGAACGGGGTTTCAAGTGCAGCCAGGCGTGAGGATTAAATCCACTCCTGTGTAGCTCTCCAAGAGCTGTCGCGTCGCAGCGGCAGCCTTTCACGCCATGCTTCAGGACAAGAGCTTGCCTGACCCACACACACACAGCTCTTTTAGGGCACAGGACTCTGTTCTCGCTGTGCCTCAAGGCCACCTGGGCACCCCGTGGGTGACATTCAGGTGCTGTTCCCAAAACAGCGTCCCCCACACAAGCCTGGGGCTGGGAGCAGGCGGGTTTTTGGACGGGGAAGGCTCAGGCTGTTGTGTGTCAGTCACTAGAGCCCATCAACACCCAAAGCTGCTTCCCCTCTCTGACCTCCACAGAACCCAGGCACGCGTTTTCACATTCGCCGTGAACGAGTCCAGACACCGTCAGCTACAACAATTTTTGGGGTGGCTGCTCCCCGCGCCCCCTACAAGGGCGCAGTGGAATACTGCTGCATCAGCCGCTGGTGGCAGGGGTTGCAGACGCGCTCGGGGTTGATGCTGGACGGCAGGGGCAGCTCGTGCGCTGAACAGGCTTCGCAGAAGACGCCACCGCAGTTCTTGCAGATGTTCTGAAGTGCAGGAAGAGGACAGAGACGTTAAAGAGACGCTCAAGGCACCAGCAGTGCTAAGAAACTGAAGTTTTCTCTCATTAACGTTTGTTCAACCCAAATCCTCTCCCAGGCTAGAGAAAGATGCACAAAAACTCCCCTCTTGTCACCTCTGAAGACCAGAATTTGCCCCTGTGCTCAGGGCCAGGCTGTAACAAAGCAGAGGGGAAGGAGGAACGAACATCTGAGCACAGAGCAGGCCGGGGAGCCCTCAAGTGACCGCTGTTTTTAACAAGTTTGCCTTCGGGGTAAAGCAGACTTCAGAAAAGGGCTCGTTCCTGTGTCCCAAGTCAGCAGTAGCAAACCTGTGCCATTTAAAAACAGAAACGAGAGGAGAGGCACATTCACCACATGATGGGGGTGACAACACAAGGCCTCACAGTTACCTTTTTTTGGCCGCGGCTGCTCTCCTCCTGGCAGAGCTGGCAGACCTCAGCGTTCCCAGGTCCTGACGGCTGCTCCTAAGCACAAAGTGAAAACCAAGACACTCTGCTTTACACACAGCTGCATCAGAGCTCTGTGCCTGGGCCGCGTCCTGCAACCGGGAGGAAGATTTCACACACTGGTAGTTTTAATCCCTCCCTGCTCCCAGCGCAGCCACGCAGGACCCACGTGCATTTGCAGGACCCACG